TTACCTTTGAGTGCTTTCCTATCAATTCACAATGTCTATCATATCTCCTAGTTTAAATTAACTCTTTCAGGCTTTACACTAGAGAAACAATGCGGTGCTTGCACATGTATGTTTGATTTATTTCACTTATGAGTATCGTCTCTAGTTGTGACCATTTACCTATAAAAGCCTCCAGTTAATAAAAATAATTAAACAAGTAATCTTAAGGCCAGTTCAAATTAAGTGCACAAATCATTATAAATAGCATCCGTATTTATGGAGTATTTACCCTATGTCACCTGCTAAATGTGCTTTAGAAATATTACCTTGTTTGATCCTCACAATGCTCTTCATTTTAGGAATTAGTGTTACAGTTTTATAAATGGACAACTTGAAGTATCAGAGAGTTAAACTATTGCCCGTCCTCACGTAGTTTGAGGCCAAGTTGGGACCTGAATCCAAGTCTGTGAATCCAAAGTCCTTCTTTGGACCATTGTCTATTCTGAAGTCTGCTCTCTGTTCAAAAACACTTGGTATTATTCATCTGTGTTCTGTGATCAGGACACTTTCCACTTTGTATTAATTTACTTTATCCTTAGAACTTCATAGAGAATATTAGCCTAATTTAAAAATTTTTTTTAACTTTAAAAATTTTATTAGAACTGTACATATTTGCTGTACAGGGAGTTTATAGTCTTCTTGAAGAGTAGGTACATGTACATACTATATAGCTTGGTTTTTTTGTAAATCTGTGTCCTTCCCACCCTCGCTCTTGTAATTCCTCTATCCAGATTTTTATTCTCATTGATATTATTCATCTTAGCTCATGTAGTGGCATACAGTGTTTACATTCATTTAAGTTATCAGGTTCCTGTACTATGATGTCTTAAGCTGTTTGGGGAACATACCTAGAAAGGGCATAGTTGGGTCACATGGAATTTCTAATTTTAGTTCTTTAAGAAATCTTCATACTGATTTCCAGAGTGGTCATGATAGTTTTCCTTCCTACAAATAATGAAGGAGGATTCCTTTTCCACTAGAGCCATACCACCATTTGTTATTATTTGATTCCTTAATGATTGCCATTCTTTCTGGAGTAAAATAGAATCTTAGCATTGTTTTGCATTTCTCTAGTGACAAGGGGTGTTGAGACGTTTTTCATATATTTGTTGACCATATGTATTTCTTCCTCTCTGAAGTATCTGTTCATTTCTCTTGCCCATTTCTTGACTGGATCTTTAACTTTAGGTGATTTAAATTTTTTTTTAGTTCTTTATGTATTCTAGATATTAGTCCTCTGAGGAGTAGCTGGCAAAGTTTTTTTCCCATTCTATAGGCTGTCTCTTTATTAATTGATTCTTTTGCTACACAGATTCTTTTTGGTCTTGTGTAACCCCATTTGCTGATTCGAATATTTTTGAACCTCATTTTACAGCTGGAAGAACCACAGATAGGCAAAGTGATGTGCCTTAGTTATAAGTAGAAGACTCAGAGTAGAATGATTTCTGGGTTAATCCCAACTCTTCTCTGGTTAGCAGGTAAAGTGGTCAAGACACCCATTTCTGAAAGCTTCACTTTCCTGATCTGTGCATGAGGGTGTCTATTCCACTTATATCATAAGATGACACAGAAGTACTTTGAAAAGTGTGTATGATTGATTGCTGGTGATTGTGATGTGATATACATCCATATACACATTCCTTAACTTGACCTTCCTATTCTTTGATGGACCAGTTCTACTGTTTAAGATAACTGGTGCAGGAAGAAATTCTGTGTGTGTTTTGGTCATTAACTTGTTAACTTTTAAAGACGTACTTTTCCTCTAATGAGAAAGTAGCAATATCTCCTATTATAACATATACGTGTCTACTTTTTGATTCACTCATTAAAAACTCTTTATTAAAGACTTTAAATATTAGTTTTTATTTTTTGTTTTTATTTATTTTTTTAATTTTTTTTAGCTCTTTTTTTTTTTAAAGAGTAAAAGAAGGATAACATAATAATAGGGGGGACTTAGCAAATTACA